ACAGGCCACATGCTATACGATTTGCTCATGTTACCAAATGGGTTAAAAGCATCTGTTGCAAGACCAAGTCTAATATTACGAGGTTCTTATGAAAACCACTGATGATTTTTGTTGAACTCTTTCATTGCTTCAGAATCAAAACGATGTCTTAACAAATTTTCCTCATCAAGATATTTCTATTTATGTCACCTCATGTCCACACTTGTTTCTCTAAGCATAAACAATCTTTGAAGTCTTGGTTTTAATGGAAAATACAGCATATGTTTATGGGGAATCTTCTTATTCCTTACATTATAAATTTTCCACCTGGAAGTACCATAATGTGGATATTCCTGCCTATCTTTATATTCGGTCCAGTACAATACACAATCATTTTTTGAAAGCTTGGATCGAAATAAATCCTAATCCTAAACCTTGCAACATGTTTTTAGCATCATAATATGATTTAGGAAGTTTCTCATTAGTTGGAAATGCCTCATTTTACAAACTCCTACAACATATTAAATGATTTATTACTGCACTGATTGTACACTTTCATGTGTAATAACTTCACAACAAACGAAAGCTTTGAGAATATCTTACATCCGCGGTATAATTCACGTCCTGCTTCTTCCAGCAATTTGTCAAACTTCTTTGCTTCTTTCTCACTGATATTACAACAAACATTATTACCGGTTGTCTCCTCTCAAAAATCGACAAATGATCTACCATTGGCCTCTTCTAAAATAGAGTGAATTGCATCATGGTTATCATGTTCTTCATTATCATCCTCACTATAAATTGATTCATTTCTATCTATTATTTGTGATTGTTCCCCGTGGTATATCCCTTGCGCGTAACTTCCCATAATTCCTTCGATTAATAGGTGATCAAACACTAATTCTTGTGTTTAAAAGAACATTCAAACGGTCTTGACATGGGCATCAAACTTTGGAATTTCTATCAAAGTGATATCAAACATGTTGCATGAAAGATTCGACAGCGTCAACATATCTTTTAGAGAATTTTGGTTCATGCATCCAACCTTTATCCATGATCAACTGCACAAACATAAGAATCACCCATTAAATATTGTAAACTAAGCACATGCAAGATTCTTTCTAATAAAATAAGATTACAATAAATATTCCAGCAATGATGGAATACTAGCAAAAATTAACTTCTACGGATTTCAAACAAAAACATACACATTATAATATCACAAGTGTGGTCTACAAAGGGTGGTGCATATGCAGCCTTACCCCTATCTTGTGAAGGTAGATAGGTTGTTTCAGAAATTTCCTTACCAAAGACAAAAATATGGACTAATCAATACAATGTCAATCATACAAATTTTTGCCTTACCAAAAACAACGTTGTGTTGATTCGTCATGGTGAAGTGATGAGAAATTTTATATCAAAGTAGTCACTGGTCAACATTTGTATTTTTGTTTTGGAAAGTGAAAGAAAATAGTTGAGCAAAACAAACCGATTTCCTAAAATAATTAAAAATTGTACCATCCGATAATGATCAACAAAAAATAAAACTTGTGATGCTGACAATGTGATGAATGGATTCAATTAGCAGGGACTTGTTAATCCCTAAAACAACTATTTCGTTAGTCAACATTTGTATTGATTGGTCCATATTATTGTCTTTGGTTTTTGACTGGTTGTCTCCAACCGTTGAGCCTTAGGCCTTACAACATTGCAATTAAGGTTGGAACCTCACTAGGTACATAATCATATCTAAAAAACTTTGTTGTAATTCACGGAATGTTCATTATTTCTGCTATGCAACAAATGAGGACATACCTGTGACATTCCTAAACCTCTTTTGACATTGTTTTCCTCACAATAGTAAAGAAGTCATGCTAATCATAATGGAAAATAGGACCAGTAGCAGCAACAAACAATACGGTAGTTGATAAAAGATAGTCACAAGTGAAAGATATAATGGTGCGCCATGGTTAACAGATGAATCATTTTATATCAATGCCTTTCTAACCAATTGAAATTGTTTCTACATTTCCTTTCAATCATTTTCTAGATTCTTTTTATTCATCCTATATTCTATCAGTTATTGTTAGAGGTTTCTAATCTATCAAAAGTATAAATGTCATGCAATAACATTGGGAGTTGTCATTTTATATTGTCAAATATTTGTGTTGTCTGAATAAAGCAAAAACCCAAAAACAAATAGTAGTAAAAACTCCAAAGCATGGTTTACCAATGGTTTTTCACTCTCCTAATTTCTAGGACAATAGAAGCTCACTTTTCTGATAATGGTTTGACCATTAGGATACCAATCGGCCTGCATCAGTGGAAAATGGAACTATCAAATCATCGATGACTTAATGGGAAGAAAATTCTACTATAATCTAAGCCTCCTTGGCTCAAGCCAACAATAATTACCCATTGTGATTATTGCTTACACCATAGCTCTTAGATGGAGAACATAATTTACTCAAAACACGGGCTTTAGATATTTCCATATAACCAGATGGTGCACGGGTAAGTCTAAATGATGTGATTAGGTTGAAGAAGTTAGAAGTTGATGCATATATCAGTAATGAGCAAGGAATTTATGGAATGGATCAGTTTTGGTGTCAAAGGAATAAAAGGAGATTAAGATGTGAAGATTTTCAAAATGAGGTGCAAAACATTTTTGTACAAGGAACCATAATGATATTGGAAATTATAATGATATTAACTTTGAATAATGGGGTAAGGGGGAGGTAAGATTGAATTAATCCTGAACTTGCATTGAATACATGGTGGTCGTGGAGATGAAAAGAAGAAAAGGAGATATGCAAGAGGAAGATCTCCAAAGATGCCTCATAGGATATTGCGGCAAGACAATAAGGAAAAAAACAACCCTTGTGGACATTAGAAAGTGGGTCTCAGCAAACTGGAAAAAAGTATTTGGAGTTAACATCTATGAGTTGAAGTATGAGATATTCATGGTTGAGTTCCTGGATAAACACATGGCCGAAACTATCCAAGGTTAATGGAGGTGGAAGAAGAACATATTGCAGCACGATTGTTGGAGTCCAAAAACTGGATGCATCTTCGGATTTGTAAGGCTGTAAAAATATGTATTAGACTTGTGGGAATGAATTTACATCGATGGTGAAAGAAGACTCTTAAAGAAATACACGTAGCCTATTCTGATTTTGATATCTAGATTGGCTGGGACTTAAAAGTCTGAGCATATGATCGTCCACTTATGAATGTCCTAAAATGGTGTGATTTTTATATTAACAATATGAGTCGTTGATATTTTAAAGGTTTTGTTCAACCCTTGAGCTTTAGGACTTACCGCACCATCTGCAATTCTGGTTAAAATCTAACTAGGTACAGTTTATGAAATTTTCTCAATTCTCCTAGCTATACAACATTTGTGGGCATACCTGTTAAATTTTTCTATCCTCTTTTGACATTATTTTTTTCACATGAGTATTCTCCATACACCTCCATGCCTCATAGACTAAATAGCTTGAGGATATTTACGTGGTGCAACCAACAAAGAGAAATGTGGATTCCTTGTATACTGGAAATGCCAATTGTTATTTGTAGTTTTGATGAACTAACAACCCAAGGGACCTTATGAAGGTACCCTATTCTCAACATGAGTAGTTCGTTGACTGCCATCTAGAGAAGGTACATAAAATTGGTGCACAGTTCCAAACTACGTCAAAAATGTCAGACCTTTCCAACCAATTGCAGGGGTTTAAGGAAAGTGACTTTTTTATACAATGTCATCTTTCCATACATTGCTCTTTAGGTTTTTCAACTTGAAAAAGCACATTCAAGACCTCTTGCAAAGGCTTAAGAAAATCAAGGAGAAGAATCATTCAAGAACAACCTAAACTCAGCCGTATATTGTGTAGTTATTTGAGAATATATTCTTTTGTTCTTACATTGTAAACTGATCCTAAATTTATAAAGGAATCAGTGTGGTGCGATTAGAAATTTTAAGTTAGTTAGTTGAACTAATTTAGTGGATAACTGTTGTGTTGCTTAGAAAATTCTAAGTTATCTAGAGTGATAGCTTAGTGGGTAGAACATCATTTGCTTAGGCTCATCAAGCAATAGAGTTATTGCTTGTTGGTGACATTAAAAACTTTTTCTCACATTTGTGTAACCAGTTTACTTTTGCTTGTGCATATTAGTGCAACAGTTATGAAAATCCTCTGATACAGGAAGTGGTTTTACTCCCTTGAGTAAGGAGGTTTCCACGTAAAACTCCTCTGTTGTTAAACTTTATTTACTTTTCTGTTATATCCGTATTTGTGTGTCAAGGGACCTGGTCCATTGACTGATAATGGACACACTAATTTAAACAAGTGGTATCAGAGCATTTACTCTCTATCTGGTTAACACCAAGAGAGTGACTCTTGTTCTAGAATGGCTGCTCCACTTAATTTTGAAGAGGGTCAGTCTTCAACTAAACCCCCTCGTTTCAATGGCCACTTTTATAATTGTTGGAAAGTGAGAATGCATGACTTCCTTATGGTTGAAGACAGTTAACTATAAGAAATTTTCATAGATGGACCATGCATCCCTATGATTGAAGGGAAAGATGGTGAAAACACTAGGCTTGTTCCAATGCCTTGATGAAAATATGATGAAGCTGATAGGAAGAAGATTGAAAAGGGGTACAAAGCAAAGAAATTGCTTGTCTATGGTTTAGGACCTAATGAGTTCAATCATGTCTCAGCTTTTGAATTTGCAAAAGAGATCTGGGATTGCCTAAAAATAGCACATAAGGGAACTGAACAAATAAAAGAGTCAAAGATTGATATGATTGCATCTCAATATGAAAATTTCATAAAGAGAAAAGGTGAAACTATTCATGAAATGTTCATTAAATTGTCATCCATCACAAATTAGTTGAGAAGTCTTAGAGAACCTATCAGTATGAGTAAGCAAGTCAGGAAAGTGCTATGAATCCTTCTAGTTGTTGGTAAAGTAAGGTTGATGCTATTACTCAAGCAGAGGACCTGAAAGTGTTAACAATGGATGCTCTAATTGGAAATCTAAAGACTCATGAGATGAACCGAAGTTATGATCAGTCAAAGAAGGTAGTCAAGAAAGAAAGGTCCTTGATGATGAAATACAGATCTGAATAGGACTCCAGTGATGATGATTATATGGCTTGCCTCATCAAGAGATTTTAGAAGATTGTGAAGAAAAACAAAGGTTGTATAAAGGGAGCAAATGTTCCTCGAACTGCCACTCAAAATGATACTTGTTACAAGTGTAGAAAAGATGGACACTTTATAAGAGAGTGTCCATTGCTCAAAGTTGAAAACAAAGAATATCAAAAACCAAGAGGTAATAAAGAAAAGCAAAGGGACCTGGTACTCAATAAGAATGATCGAAAAGTTGTTGCTGGCTATGTGGTCAAGAAAGATCTTGTTTCATGGGGAGACTCTTCAAGTGACTCAGAAGATCTTGATGGATCAAATGATGTGTCAATGGTGCTGGTTCATTAAAAGGAAATCATATTTAATGAGATGTTTACTTTCATGGCTCATTCAGAAATGAAGATGATGAGGATAAGGTTGCTCTTCTTGATATGAAACATGATTTGAATACCTATTCTCTTTAAAATTGAGAACATTAGCAAATGTTATGATTGATTCAGTTATTGAGATAACTTGTTAAAGATATATTATGAATGTTGAGATTGAAAGTTGAAAAGAAAATAGAGATAATATTGATGAGAAAATGCTGAAAATTGAAGATAAAATGGTTGTTCTGGAATCTTACAACATAGAACTTAAAAAACAGGTGCATCTGATAAATGAGAAAGGTGAAAAGAAAAAAGAAAAGTCTAATGGTTTACAAGTTGAGCTTCAAGAAAAACTGAAAACCTTTGACACTAATCTTGGTTTGGCTTTGGAAAGGAGCAACAGCTTAGAAAAAGATATTATCAAACTTAAAGATGAACTTGAAAAATCTCTTAAGTGGACAAAATCTTCTAAGCTTCTTTCAAACATAACAAATCAAAGTAATTTCAACAAGAAGGGTCTAGGAAGTTTCATTATCACTCCTCCTTTCAATCCTCATAGCAAATATGTATTTTTGTCCGATAATTTTTTGTGCCTTAACTATGGTAAAAATGGGCATTTAAAAGAAGAGTGTACTGCCTGGAGAAATTCACATGAGAGACTTTCAAAGCATACAGAATAGCAAAGGGTTTCAAAAGAGAGACCTTATCCCACAAAACGATTCTCAACCAAAAGTTTTTCAAAGAAAGGACTTGATTCTGCTCAAAAATACTTTGTCAAAAAGAATATGAAACTACCTCATTGGGCTAGAAACACTTTGATCACTCTTTTGTCTGCTTTCTGGGAACTCAAATTGAAAAGGGTTCCAAACCCTTACAAGTGATTTTTGCTGTAGGTGAGTGAGAGGAGAAGCAGTCAATGTTGCTACATGGACAGTAGATTCTGTAAACATACGACTAGTGATATCAAAAATTTCCTCTCACTCAAGGCACTTCAAGGAGGAGGTGTATCTTTTGGTGATGGAAAGAAAGGGTATAATTTAGGTGTTGGTAAACTGGGAAAATCGCTTGGGGAATCCACTAACAAAGTGTATCATTTCAGTGGGTTGAAGTATAGTCTTTTGAGTGTGTCTCAAATTTTTGACAAGGGAAATGAAGTGAAGTTTACATCTGATAAGTGCACTGTAGTTAATCTAACTACAAAGAAAGTGATTCTTACTGATCATAGAAGTAACAACATGTATGTGTCTAACTTAGAAACATCTCATGGAGATGATCTGTCATGCCTTAGTGCTCAAAATGAAAATGTTGATTTGTGGCATCGAAGACTAGGGAATGTAAGCTCATCTTTATTGAATAAACTAATTTCTAAAGACCTGGTCTTGAGTCTGTCAAAGTTGAAATTTTGTGAATGTAAAATTTGTGAAGGTTGTGTCAAAGGAAAAAAAATTAGATCATCCTTCAAGCAAAAGAAGCAAGTAACCTCATCGAGAGTATTAGAGCTCTACACATGGATTTATGTGGACCTTTGAAGGTTCAAAGTAGAACTGGAAAAAAAATACACTATAGTGATAGTTGATGACTACTCAAGGTACACATGGACAAGGTTCTTAAGATCAAAAGCAGAAACACCGGAAGAATTGATAGTATTTTTAAAAATGATTGAAACAAAGTTAAATCAAATGATTGCTGGAATTAGGTCTGATCATGGAACTGAGTTTGAAAACTCAAAATTGATCAATTCTGTATGAAAAATGGCACTAGTCACAATTTTTCTACTCCAAGAACTCCCTAGCAAAATGGAGTAATTGAATGGAAATATGGAACCTTGGTAAATATTATAAGGACCATGATTATTAAGTCAAATCTTCCTCAAAAGTTTTTGGGATGAAGCAATCAATACAATATGTCATGTTACTAACAGATGTTTGATAAGGACTTCACTGAATAAGACTCCCTATGAATTACTTAACAACATAAAACCTATGTTGAGGTACCTTAGGGCAATTGGATGCAAATGTTTTGTGTTGAACAATGGAAATGATTATCTAGGAAAGGTTGATCCTAGAATTTATGAGTTAGTGTCGGTAGGATATTCTTCATCAAGTAAATCATACAGAGTTTTCAACAACAGAACACAATGTATTGAAGAAAGTATTCATGTTGTGTTTGATAAAGATGGAAATCTGAAAGGTGTTGTATCAAATGATGAAGATGAGTTGATTGAGCTGTTTAATTCTCAAAAAATTGAAGGAAGTGAAGTTCATGTAAATGACCAGTTGGGGATTGACAATGCTGATCAAAGCTCATCTGAAAAGGCTAATGAAGTTGAAAAATGTGAAGAGGAACATGGTACCATTCTGAACTCAAGTCAGAATATCTCAAACTCTCCAAAAAATGAAGAATTCCTTGAAGAAGAAGAATATATTAATCGCCTTAACTAGTTGACCTTGAGACAAGGATGGAAACACACTCATCACATCCACTTGATAATCTCATCTCACCTTTGAACTCTGGAATTCACACTAGATCAAAAACAAGAAAGCTAGCTGCATTCCCAGCGCTTATATCATCGATTGAGCCTAAGAATGTGAAAGAGGCATTAGGTGATGCAAATTGGACTAATTCAATGCAAGAAGAACTCCATCAGTTTGAAAGAAGTAAGGTTTGGTACCAGGTTCCTCGACCAAATGACAGAAAGGTTATAGGAACCACATTGGTATTAAGAAACAAGCTTGATAAAAATCGTGTGATTACTAGAAACGAATCCAGATTAGTTGTTCAAGGATACAACCAGGAGGAAGGTACAGACTATGATTAATCCTTTGCTCCTGTTGCAAGGATGGAGGCTATAAGAATTCTCATAGACTTTTCAGCATTCATGGATTCAAGCTTTATCAAATGGATGTCAAGAGTGCTTTCCTAAATGGAGACTTAAAAGAGGAGGTGTTTGTTAAACAACCTCCTCGGTTTTAGGATGCTGAGTTACCAGATCATGTGTTCAAATTGAATAAGGCTCTGTATGGTTTAAAACAAGATCCCAGAGCTTGGTATGAAAGATTGTCAAAGTTCCTGTTGAAAAATGTGTCCAAAAGAGGGAAAATAGAGAATACCTTGTTCTTATTAAAATGAGAACAGGAATTGCTTATTAAACAGGTATATGTGGATGACATTATCTTTAGAGCTACATCGGAGCATTTGTGTGCAGAATTTTCATCTTTAATGAGAAAGGAGTTTGAGATGAGCATGATGGGTGAATTCACCTTCTTTCTGGGGCTACAAATAAAGCAATCATCAAATTGAGTCTCAATCAGTCAGGAAAAGTACATTAAGGTGCTATTTAAGAAATTCAATATGTTTGATTCTAAACCAATTGATACTCCTACGGGAACAAACTCCAAGCTTATAGTAGATGAAGCTTATTCTCTTGTGAATCAAACCATGTATAAGGGAATCATTGGATCCTTGTTGTATCTGACTGCTACAGACCTGATATCATATATAGTGTTGGAATGTGTGCTAGATTCCAAGCATTTTCTCGTGATTAATATTTTAAGGTTGCAAAACGGATTTTAAGATATTTGAAGAAGACAGGTTACCTAGTCGTTTTCTACCCAGCAGGTGACACTTTTGATCTTGTTTGTTTTGCAGATGCTGATTTTGCTGGTTATCAAGTTTATAGGAAGCGCACTTCAGGGACGGCTCATTTCAATGGATATTCACTTATCTCATGGGGAACTAAGAAACAGAACTCAGTATCTCTTTCAACAGATGAAGCTTAATATTTAGCAGTTGTTGCATGTTCTTCACAATATTTATGTTTTCAAACAACACTTAGAGGACTTTGGAGTAATCATCAAGGCCATACATCTTATGTGTGACAATACTAGTGTAGTTAGTATGGGAAAGAATCTTGTTCACCACAAGAGAACCAAGCACATTGATGTTAGACATCATTTTCTGAGAGACAATGTTGAAAAAGGAAACATTGTGCTTACATATTGTCCAACGGAGGAATTAATTGCAGATATCTGCACCAAAGCTCTGAGCAAAGATCTATTTGAGAGTAATAGGATGAAGTTGGGCATGATGACTTCAAACTGATTTCCAGTAATTCAATCATTGAATTTCCTTGATGGCTAAACTTGTAGTGCAGGTATCCTTTGTGTCAATAATATTTTATCTAAGCTAGATCGCTATTGTACCTATTGCAGGTATACATTCATAATGGACTAGCTAAGAAAAGACATGGATTGAACAGTTGAGTGATGATGATAAAATTTCATTATAGGACCTAGTCCTAGTCGAGGTTAGCATTCGTACATTAATTTCAAACTGATATAAAGTGATCGTTGATCAAGCCACGTGTCAGTCATCGGTTATTCTGACCATTAGCCCCATCGCTTACTTTCCAAGCAACACCTCAAATCAATAGGGACCTGGCACCGTTTCATTTCTTTTTAAACCCCCTTTTTTCTCTCTTTTAATTCTTCATTCTTTTTGCAATATTCCTTCACTCTGTCGAAAAAAAGGGGGGGCTAAATTTTCTTTAATCTCTACATTTTTCATTCTCTAATACTGCTACTCTCTTCTTCTTGTTGACAAAATGCCTAACCCTTCTTTTGCTTCTAAGCAAATGCTTACAACAATCAGTGAGATTGAACAAATTGCTTTCTACTCTCCATCATCCACGGGGTCAAGATCTAATCTTCCAACAAGTTCTCCCTTACATAATCGCGAAAACCCTTTTCACTCTATAGATCTGAACAGCTCAAGTGTTCCTACTGGACCTTGTCCTCATCATGAAATCCTTTTAGATGCTCTCTTCGAATGAGATTTTACAAGAAACAAAACCTTTGAGTCGAACATTCTTGCTGCTAGTGAAAAATTTGTGATTGAGAGTCTTGCTATGATGTGAGAGTAAGTCATGGTTGAGGAAAATAAACCTTTTCATAATAAAGATATCAGCGAGACCCGACCTATATTTGATAGAACTCCAGATATTGGGAGATATCAATCCTCTGATTCCTCTGACTCAGCAGGTGATGAACAATCTATAGAGTAGAAGGTTGAAAGGAGAGATTTAAGAACATCTAAAAGGGAAAAGAGAAAGTGGTGGGAGAAGTGTCTAAAAGGATTCCTATTACACTATCTGACGCCAAAAAGATGATGGCTGATGCTCTGAAAGCCATTGTTAAGTCTACAGCAGAAAACAGGAGTGCTAGAACTTTCAAAGTGTCCAATTTTAAACTGCCTAAGTCTGGTGTTGTAGATGTGTCTACTGAAGAAATAGAAAAGGGATACATGAAGAAGAGTTCAGGAAAGACAATACCAAGAAGAACCAAGAAAACTGAGCAAACAAATTCCACAAAGGAGACTGCTAAAGAAAAGAGGAAAAGGTCACATGGACCTGGTACAAGGGAAAATTGAAGAGCAAGTCAACAAAGAAGAGACTGTTGACAATCTGAGAAAGCAGTTTGTACTGGTGGGCAGGGTTTTCGACATGGGGATAATTAATCTTCCTGGAATGGACTCACTTCATGACATGGTTGAGATTCAGTCTTGGATGCATCTTTTCAACAAAATATCTCACATTCGTCATGAAGAGGAAGTGCGAGAATTTTACTATAACCTTTAATTTCAGGAGGATGGAAGTGTAAATACCGGAGTAAATGACATTGTTGTTCACCTTGATGAGACTTTGTTGGGAAAAATTCTTAGGGTACCTCGAGATGGTACAATGTTTGTGGTAGGGAAAACGTGTTCCATTGAATTTGTGACACTGTGTTCGAAGCTTCCTACTACAAAATGTGCAGGGCTGTTTAAGAAAGTGATGAAAAGTGAGTATCAGTTAGTTTTTGAATTTGTCAACAAAACTCTCCTCCCTCGAACTGAAAAGAGGACCTCAGCAACTTCTACTAATTTGTATGATATGGAATTGTTGTGCAAGTTCGAACCTCTGAATCTTCCGGGACTCATGATTGAACACATGTACAAGACTATCATTGAGCGGAAAGGGATACATGGCATGGGATATGGATACTTTCTCACTGAAGTACTCAAATACTTTAACATTCCTCGGGGTGTGAGCAAGGTAGGTACAGTGAAGCAAGCCTTTTCAGAGACTACCTTCGTTGAATGTGAGTGCATTGAAGGGAAAGGAAATCGCAAGAACAAAATGGCTCAACACATTAATGACCAGGACCAACTCAAGCATGAAGTTGAATAACTAACTATGAGGCTGAGTAGCAAGGATACTTAAATTGCTATTCTTAAGGCCGAGCTACTCACTGTGCAGGCAGAGGGACCTGATATCGCTGTGGTTCAAGCCCTGGAAAGGAAAAATGCAGAATTGAGGGCCAAAGTTATTGCTTTACAAGAAAAATCAATCAAGGATAATGATGATGCTAATACTAGACTCACTCTCATCATTCAGTCTCTTTCCCATCAGTCTCCCCCTTCATAGTCCGTTCCATAATCTTCCTTTGTCTTCTTTGTGTGGCATATCTTTTCTTCCTTGTATTTCAGTTTTCTGTTTATGAATTGAATATTAATTTTGGAATGCTATTCATATTATTCCACTGGTGTTCTAACTTATATATCTTGTCAAATGCCTTCTTTTATGTTTGATTGCCAAAAGGTTTTGATTTTCTCTAATATTATTATTGATATTGTTGTTTATTGTATCTCTTTTTTATGATGCGAAAAGGGGGGATTTTAACTGGTTGTTGTGTCTTGACATGTTTGTGAGGGGATATACTTTGAGGGGGAATACAACTAGTGCAGTGTATTTTGTGTTTTCTTTTGGTTTCAAGTTTATGCTAGGAGGGTGGATTAGTAGGTCGGGGGGAACTTGTCCTGAAGCTGGAGTGGAGCCTCGAGTATTGTTTGTCATCATCAAAAAGGCAGAAAATGTTATTTATAATTTTGATGATGTAACAAACTCAGGAACCTTGTAAAGATACCTGGTTCTCAACATGAGTAGTTCGTTGACTGCCAGCTGGAGAAGTTACATAAAGTTGGTGCACAGTTCCCAACTGTGTCAGAAACGTCATACCTTTCCAACCAATGGCAGGGGTTTAAGGAAAGTGACTTGTCTATACAGTGTCATCTTTGCATACATTCCTCTTTAGGTTTTGCAACTTGAAAAAGCACATTCAAGAACTCTTGCAATGGCTTAAGAAAACCAAGGAGAAGAATCATTCAAGAACAACCTAAACTCACGCATATATTGTGTAGTTGTTTGAGAATATATTCTTTCGGTCTTACATTGTAAACTGATCTTACATCTATAAAGGAATTAGTGTTGTTTTATTTGAAATTCTAAGTTAGTTAGTTTAACTAATTTAGTGGGTAACCGTTGTTTTTGTTGCTTAGAAAATTCTAAGTCGTCTAGAGTGATAGCTTAGTGGGTAGAATAACATCTACTTAGGCTCATCAAGCA